CGTTGCCCTGCCGTGGGTATGGGTGGTGCGCGGGGGGGGGGGGGTGTCCATCCACTTCCGGGGTACTTGGGCAGTCCAAAGAAGCAACATCCTGGCCCTTGGCGTCGCCTCTGACCAGTGGCTGTACTGGACTTGTGTGGGCGACTGTGCCTTGACGAGCATAGGAGGACCGTGGGGGAGAGGAGGCAGCCAAGCTGTGCTGGAGCCGGGGACAGAGCCTGTGCACCAGCCTTGGAAGCCCCAGGGAAGCCCTAGGTTAGGCGGGGCGAAGAGAAGAGGAGTCTGGGGAACAGAGACTTTGGAAGAAGACGGGAGAAGCGCCACTGGCCAGTCTCCAGGGGAGGGAGCTGCTCAGGGCCGATGGGAGGAGTCTGCGAAAGGGACATCCATCATTTGCTTTATTCTGGTCTCTCGGTGGTGGTGGTGGTGGAGCAGAGAGCGGATGGCTTCCCGCACGGAGGCAGGGGGCTATTTGAGCTTTCTGGAGCTGTGGCTGCCACCAGCCGCCGGGCATTTGCTGAACTGACACTTGTGTTCCTTCTCCCAGAGGGCTTTGAGCCTCTGGTAGTAGACCTTGCAGCTGAACCCTTCCTTCAGCCCGCACTTGATGTGGGTCTTGAGTGAGTGCAGAGTTGGGAACATGCGGCAGCAGGCCATGCACTTGTAGCCGTTCTGCTGCAGGGGCTGCCACCGGGAAGCCAGGAGGATGTCCTGGGGCGTGATGCCGCCCTTTGCCTTCCTGCGGCCACTCTCCTGGGGGTGCGCTTTCTCTAGGGAGCCAGAGGAGGAAGAGGCGCTGTGGGAAGCCGCTTCAGCTCGGCCGGCGTCCACGGGGAGGTCTCTGCTGCTGACTCTGAGGCTGCCGGGGAGGCTGCCGGGATCCACCGGGCTGTTCTTGCCCATGCACACAAAGTAGCTGTAGGGGGAGTACCAGGGCCGGTAGATGGTACAGTGGCGTCTCAGGGGGTCGTCGCTCTGCAGGTCCACAAGGAGGCAGTCTGCCAAGAGAGAAAGATGAACTGAGCCAGGGAGTCCTTGGGCCCTCCTCAGACCCATGTCAGTGTGGCGCGGCGGTTAAGAGGGTCGGACTGGGGTCCAGGAGGCACGGGTTCAAATCCCCCCTCTGCCTGACTTTGGGCCCGGCACACAGACTTCATTCACAGAGTGGCACTTGTGAGGATAAAACAGGGGAGGGGAGAGCAGTGTTGTAAACCACTCTGGCAGCTCCCGACACTGGGGAGGAAAGCAGGGCACAAAAATCTGAACGAATGAATCCTTGCACAGCGCTTAGTAGGAGTTGCTCCCACCCTCGGCTTGCGGCTGACCCACTCCCTCCAGCAGTGATCATTTCAAGGTGCCCCCAGCAAAGGACAAGCCCCCCCCCTCCTCACGGGCCTTGCCCACTTTCCTGAAACATGGGCCTGGTGCCGCACTGAGTAGCAGCGCTCAGCAGAGCCACGGGTGGCACACCGAAAAGCCGCACGTGGCTCCTGAGCCACGGAATGCGCACCACTGCTGAGAGGGATACACACGACTGTATAAGCCTCTGAACACCCATGGTTGGGAGCAGGTCTCTCTTGCCAGGCCCGGCTTTCCCCCCCTGGAGTCTGCTTCTTCTGCATGAGGGACACAATGACCGGTTTCCCTTCCCTCTTCAGTGTCTGCCTCCTGTTTGCTCTGCCTTGTAGCATCCCCCCCCCCAGCATATCTGCATGCACCAACAGGAAGAATAGAACATTGCAAGGGCCTGTTGGCCCTCAGAAGCAGCTGAGCTCACCTTTTCTTGGCACCTGGACCAGTAATTGCCCAAGCTAAAGATGGGCTCTCTGCTGCGAAACACAGCCCTGTGCTAGGCGGCTTTGGGCCAGAAGGCAGCGTCACCAGGTCTCCCAGGGGCCAGTGCAGGAAGGATGTGGCCACTCCCCACCTCTTCTCACGCGAGAGGGAGTTGCTGGGCTGGGCAGCCCACGTCACAGGAAGAGCCGCCCAGCCCCGAGCTGGTCCTGAAGGAGGAAAAACAAGCCCAGGGGCCAGGTGGCATCTCAAGGTTGCCCCCTCTGGGTCATGAGAGCCCTGGAGCTCGGGGGGTGGGCTGTGGGGAGGGACCTCAGTAGGGTATGACACCATTGAGCCCAAAGCTTTAATTTCCTCCAGGGGGACTCGTCTCTGTAGTCTGGAGCTCGGTTGTAATTGCTAGCGATCTCCAGGCCCCGGCTGGAGGTTGGCAAGCCTTTGGCATCTCGCTTGAGAGGGAGGCTCCCGCTAGGTTGGGAGATGGGGTGGGGAGGGGGCTGTGATGGCTGCCCTCCACAGAGCCCGTGTCTCAACAAAGGGTGCTGCCTCCACTGAGCTGTGCCTGGTGGTGCTGCAGTGGTTCAAGATGGGGCCCCTGCTGGACACACAGGAAGAGGCTTCGTCCTGGACCAGACCACTGGTCAGTCCAAGTCAATGTTGTGTACTCTGGTTGGCAGTGGCTCTTCTGGGCTTCAGGGAGATGTCTTTCACACCATTTCATTACCTGGCTCTTTTAGCTGGGAGTGCCAGGGATTGAACCCAAGACCTCCTTCATGCAAAACAGATGCTCTGCCACTGAGCCATGGTTTCTCCCCCATTTGGCTATCGCTGTTGCCTTTGAAATGTCCGCAGTCATATCAGTGAACATCAGTGATCTAAGCAGGTGGCCATGGATAACAATCTGAGGCTCTGGCCTCGTCCACCAGGGGCATGTGCTGATTTTTCAGGATTCACAGGGCTGGCTATCTGCAGTTGTAAGTCACAGGAAACACAGAGGTGGGTGGAGAGGGCCCACCCAACAGGGCTTCCCAGGCCTCTCATTTTGACTGCTGGACATCTGCTGTTTATGACTCTGGTTGCAAAAACAGTAAAGACAATAAATAAACAAATAAACAAATGCCTGCTGGACACACTGAGGGCTGGAGTACACTGCTTGGGTCTGTGGACCCACCCTGTGTTACATGAGTGGCAGGCTTTTAGTTCCTACTTGCACGGTGCCCAGTTCAGGTTGTGACTGCAGCACACATGAAGAAGAAGAAGGAGCTTCATTCTCCCCGCTGGGGACCATTCTTGGCAGGATACGATTGGGGTATGCCTGTTGGTTTCCCCAAAGGGCCAAAGATCACACTTCCTGGATCATTTTGGGTTGGGAAAACAGCATGCACAGGGGGAGGGGAGAGACAGATCCCTTCGCCAGGCATGGCATATTTGCAGCTTAAATAAGGCACACACGGGACCGAAGGTGAGGATCCCAGACTCCACCATCAGCTTACGCAGTCCATCATCTGAACGGGCTTTTCCGTTTCCTTGTGGGAGGGTCCAGGTGAGAACTCATGGCCCGAGTCTGACACTAGTCTCCTCCACGGAGCAATGGCTGCAGTCATCCCGGAATCCATCCAGCCGCAGCCTACGTGGGGCCCCACGGGGTTTTCGAGGCCAGAGACGTCCAGAGGAGGTCCGCCCCGTGGCCTGCCTCCGCGTCGTGACCCTGGCCTTCCTCGGGGGTCTCCCGTCCAAAGACTGACCAAGGCTGACCCTGCTTCGCTTCTGAGATCTGACGAGAGCGGGCTAGCCTGGGCTGCCCCAGTCAGGATGGAAGGATGCTGCAGGGGTAGAAAAGGCTCAAAGGAGCAGCGCGGTGTGCCCAAAGGTCACCATGAACTAGGGTTGCCAAGTGTGAATTCAGCCACAGCGGGGGACTCCCGCCGCATCCACGTCGCCCGGAAGTGACCTGGGCACACTGGGGGCGGGGCCACGACCATCCGAGGGAAAACCATAGATGACTGTGGCCCCGCCCCCGGCGTGCCCGTGTCACTTCCGGGCGACGTGCACGTTGGGGTGGAGTTCCCCCCGGGGCCCAATCCGCCGGCGGCGGGGAATGGGCCTCTGGGGCGGAGGTTTCCCCACCTCCCGGGGGGACTTGGCAAGCCTACCATGAACGTTTCCCAGGTGGCCCAGAAGCAGCGTGTCTGAGGGCCTGTTCTAGCTTCGCATGGCGGCACCCTCCTGCTTCACACATCACAAAGGACGTGATCTCTGCTCAAACGTTTCAGTGCTCTTTGAGGAGTTCCCCACCTTCCCAGCCCCCCAACTCACCTGGCAAGCTGGCTGTGTGCACAGGGCATGTTAAATCCGGCACGCTCTTCAGGGCAAAGCTGGGGAGACGCGGCCCAGAAATGGTCAAAAGAGAGAAATTTTCCATTTGTCTCTCAAAGCTGATTAACTGAACGGGTGGAAACCTCAGCCGTGTGCAAGTATTTCTGTGCAAAATGGCCATCCTGAGAGCTGGCATTGTGACGTCACTTCCTGATGTCACAGTCCTGTTAGCTTAGTCCATTTTCATAAAATCTGATGTGTGAAGATGGTAAGTGTATCCCTGCAAGCAATGGGTACTCAACCCGAAGGGAGACCCATGCCCAATGGCATGTGCTAATGAAGGTGGCAGTTGGTGTGCTGCCGCTTGCTCTATCGAGATAATCTACCTCTGTCGCCTCTGTGGGCTACAGCAAGGGGGGCTCCACAAGGGTCAAAAATCATGTCCTGAAGAAAAAAGATGAGAAGCAATTGGGGGGGGGGGTAATGCAAGAGCCACAGGAAAGCCCAGCAGAAAAGATGCTCTCTGTGACAGCTCATCAAACGGAAAGACTGAGGGGCTGGGATGGATGTGGCACTTGGATCGCATGCAAGTGATATGGCTATGGGGGGGGGGAGCAGGATGTGAAGTGATAAACTCAGAAGACCTCAACATCCCAAAGACACTTGAATCAGAATAATGGAAGAGTAAAGAGACAGCAGAACGAGAGAGCAGACCTGCTTCAGTCCAAGAGTTTGTAGCAGAGGTAGTGGAAAAAAAACCCGGGGGGGGGGGGGGGGGTTTACGGGATGTCCCTCCCAGCTGCCAAAATTTATACCTTTCCCTTACGATAACCCAGGGTTTCTTGCTGGAAGGGGAATATTTACACACACACACACTGTACCAGGAAGGAAAAAACACACCTGCTGTGTGTTCTCCCCCATGGGGCCAAACTGTGGGTCAGAAGTGGAGCGCCTGCTTCGTACGCAGGAGGCCCCGGGTTCAGTCCCTGCTGCATCTCGAGGGTCTGGCAGTAGATGATGGGAAAGGCCTTTCTCTGCCTGAGACCCTGGAGAGCCACGTGGCCACTCTGAGTGGACGAGACTTTGAGGGACGGAGGGGGGGGTCTGGTTCAGTGTTGGGCAGCTGTATGTTTTCATTTCTTTAAACTACTTTCAGTGTCTCAGTTGAAGGCTTAAAACCCCCTAAAACTGTAGGTTTAATGTGGAAAGGGGGGAATTACGTTCATTAAACAGCAAAATGACTCTAGTAATTTTGGAATAAACCACATTCACTGACATCACTGCTCATTGTCTTTCTTTTGTTGTTGTTCAGTCGCACAGTCGAATCCGACTCTTTGCGACCCCATGGACCAGCTCCCTCCAGGCCCTCCGGTCTTCCGCCGTCCTCTGAAGTTGGCTCAATTTCATGTTCGTTGCATCGATGACACTGTCCAACCATCTCATCCTTTGCCGTCCCCGTCTTCTTTGACCTTCAATCTTTCCCAGCATCAGGGTCTTCTCCAGTGAGTGCTCCCTTCTCATTGGGTGGCCAAAGTATTTTAGCTTCAGTTTCATTATCTGGCCTTCCAGGGAACAGTCAGGGTTGATGTCTTTGAGGATTGACTGATTTGTTCTTCTTGCAGTCCAAGGGACTCTCAAGAGTCTTCTCCAGCACCATAGTTCAAAAGAATCTATTCTTCGGCGCTCGGCCTTCCTTATAGTCCAACTCTCGCAGCCATACATGACTACTGGGAATACCATTGCTTTGACCATGCGGACTTTTGTTGGCAGGGTGATGTCTCTACTTTTTATCATGCTGTTTAGGTTCGCCATCGCTTTCCTCCCAAGGAGCAGGCGTCTTTTAATTTCATGACTGCTGTCACAGTCTGCAGTGATCTGGGATCCCAGGAACGTGAAGTCTGTCACTACTTCCACGACTTCCCCTTCTATTTGCCAAGGACTGATGGGGCCGGATGCCATGATCTTAGTTTTTTTGATGTTGAGCTTCAAGCCCACTTTTGCGCTCTCCTCTTTTACCCTGAGCAAGAGGCTCTTAAGGTCCTCTTCACTTTCTGCCATTAGAGTGGTATCGTCTGCATATCTGAGGTTGTTGATCTTTTCCCCAGCAATCTTAATTCCCGCTTGTGATTCATCCAGGCCAGCATTTCGCATGATGTACTCTGCATATATATTAAATAAGCAAGGCGACAATATACATCCTTGTCGTACTCCTTTTCCTATGCTAAACCAATCAGTTGTTCCATATCCGGTTCTAACTGTCGCTTCTTGGCCCTTATACAGGTTTCTCAAGAGACATGTGAGGTGGTCTGGTACTCCCATCTCTTTAAGGACCTGCCATAGTTTGTTGTGATCCACACAGTCAAAAGCTTTAGCATAGTCAATGAAGAAAAAAAAACCCAAGTAGCCCAAAGAACGTTACCCCAACTACCACCAAAATGACTTTTTTCTAATATGCTGGATGAAAATGCAGTTTGGGCCAATGATACTTTTATTTCTAATTTTATCCAGGCCAAAGACCTGTTTGATGATCTCCCCGACCCCTCCGGTTCCGTCTTCCTCTAGCGCTGCTGTTCAGCCTCAACAGCCGCTGCGCAAACACTCCGCTGGCCTCCCTCCCTCCTTCCCCTGGCCTGGACCCCGTCCCCGTCCCCGCCCTCTTCTTTCCCCTCGGCACATCCCTCTGCTGCTAGGATCTCAAGCGGAGATCTCTGACGGAGGAGGGTGGAAGACCCAGGGCACCTTTGGCAGGTGGAAGGCATACGGGCTCTCTGTGGTCCAGGGGGCCGGGAGATCCGGGGAAACCCTTTTTCTTTTCTTTTCTTGGTCATCAAGTCACAGCTGACTTAGGGCGGCCTTGTAGGGTTTTCAAGGCAGGGAATGTTCAGAGGGGGTCTGCCGCATGGCCTGCCTCTGCACGGCAACGTCTTCCTTTGTGGTCTCCCCTCCACGTGCTGATGAGACTGAGCTAGCCTGGGCGAACTTAAAATATTTCAGTAAATTCAGAGTTTTCAGGATAGAGGAAAGTCCCCCCACCACCACCTCCGCCTGCCCAGCACGAAACCCAAATAATCAACTTGCAGGCCTGTAGAGCACGTGGGACCACAATTCCCAGCGTGATGCAGAGAGATCATAGAAGGCCATTTTTTCATCTGAATCACAGACATTTCAAAAAGCTCCTCCTGATCACTTCTACTCCCTGAAGCGTCCAACCATGTTTGTCCTCAAGCCAGTGTTATCTTTCCCCCGCTTCCTTAAGGGAGATGGTGCTCCTCAGAAATTGCCCCTGCCCACTCTCCTTCTGGGAAAGTCTAAAAAGATGTCTGTTAGGGGATTAATGCTCCTTTCTGTCTATGTAGCTCTGACCACCACTGAAGCTGGTTACTTACAAGCACAATGGCTCACGCTGGGGGAGGAAGGAGGGAAAAGATTCTTATTTGTATGTGAACAGAAGATTTATAGCAAAAGGGAAGAAGGAAACCCACGGCCCTTGACCCCCTTGGCACTGCTGCACGAGGCTGGATGCCCTTCGTTTGGGTCAAAGCGGGTACCAGCCCAGGCTCCCGTTGCTCCAGCCCCACTCCCAGAGGGGCACCTCAACCTGAAGGTAGCCTTGTCTGCCACAGAGGTTTTCAAGTGAGCCTTCTCCACTCAAACTTTTAGGACTTCCTCATAGACATCAAATGTTTTTAGAAAGTTTGTGGGGCCAGGTGGGGCTTTTCCCCAGCAGGGGTGCTGATTGGCCGTGCAGATCAAAAGGCATCCTCTTAAGCAGAGCTTCTGCCTGAAATGTTGAAGAGTGACGATTTGACTTTGTCAGAGTTCCACCCTTTGTCAGAGTTCCAGAGGTGCCCAGAGGCTCGAGAAGGCTGGGGGGACCCCTGGCCTCGCCTGTGCCTTCAACCACATTATGCATCAGCTATCAGACAGAGAGCCATTCTCGGGTTGTGTTATTGTGATGGATAACACCCAGCTAGGCTATACGCAGTGCTGCTGTGCTTTTTTCCTGGCCGCTGACCCTCTCATACAGGCGTTGCTTTCTTTCTTCCACAGTCAGCCACAGCATGTTTGAGAATTCAAACGCTGCTTCCCCATCAAAGCTGCTGCCTACCAAATCTGTCTCCCAGCAATCCAGATCATCCTCGGGTAGGAGTCTGCGAGAGCAGCCGACCGCTTTGGGCAGTGGCCAGCACCTCAAGAACCTCAGCAAAGTGGTTGGTGCCAAAGTCAACGACTTCCTGCGCAGGAAAGAGCTCGCCAACCACAGCAGCTTCGGGGTGACAGAAGTCAACGAGTGCGCAGGGGCGGGTCTCTCGCACAAAGGAGATGATGCTTTGCTGGGAGGCCAGGACCAGGCAGTAGGGTAAGTGGTGGGCAACCACTGCTGAAGCTTCCCAGGGTTGGTGGTGGAAAGTGCCACCAATGTATTGCAGCCCACCAGGGGTTTTCCAGGCAGGAGACATTCAGGGGCGGTCGGCCACAGTCTGCCTCTGCGTAGCAACCCCGGGCTTCCTTGGTGGGTCTCCCGTCCAAGTACTAACCAGGGTCAACCCTGCTTAGCTCTCAAGATCTGACAAGAGAGGACCAGCCTGGGCCATCCACGTCAGGGCTTCCTAGGGTTAGACATATAGAAATGGGGCTACGGCCAGAGAGCTGGGTTTTTTCTTCCTTCTTTCTGCCCACCAAAGCAATCCATAGTTACAAATTTGCCAAGGGAGGAGGCTTGCCAAGTAGGACTGAGTAGGGGCTGGGAGCACGGAAGGCCAGTGTGGGCACAGGGCCCCGTAGATCGCCTGATGCCGCTCCTCCTTGGAACACTTGGGTCGTCCACCCACTGGATGCCCGGTGATGCTCTACGACTGTTGGGGGCTCCAGCCTCAGAACGGTCCTTTGGCCAGTCCAGAGAAGAGGATGTTGTGACACTCGACAGTTCCGTTTTATTACTCCCCCAAGATAGCATCGCTTAGTAGGGGGCTACAGCCGTGTCAGTCTCCTGGGGTGAAAAAGCACAATGGGGGAGGTGATCTTGGGAAGCTGGCGTGATTTGGGGGACCAGCTCTGGAGTCCAGGCTCTGCTTTGCCTGACAGATGACAAGATTGCTGCACTTTTGCCATTCACTGAGTGCTTTACAATGTCCTCCTGGCTTTTCTTCATGCAGCAGCCATTTATTCAAGTCTAGGAAGGGTCTTTGGCCCTGGCCATGTTGTCCCTTGGGAAGAAGACGGACACACCAAAAGCTGCACAACAAAACCGATAGCAAGTCCCGCTTTGGGAGGGACTTGGCAATGCATTGTGAGGGTATCAAGTTCTTCCCTTGATTGTCTTTTTCCTGTACATTGTAGGCAGTCATCAATCGAGGCCATCCCCCGGCTTGACCCACCACCGCTGATTACCAAAAAGCGCACACCCAGAGCTCTGAAAACCACTCAAGACATGCTGATGGTTTCCCCTTCGCTAGCGGATAATGTAGAAGCTTGCTTTCCAGAGGAAATCCAGGAACGCACCTGCCAGCCAGCCAGGGCACAAGAAGGGGGAGAGGGGCGGAGCGAGATCCGTTCGCCAGCAGAGGAGGGGCACGGAGGCAGTCCCAGCAGGCCCTTTTGTGTCCCTGACCTCATTCATAAAGAGAACCCAGAGCCCGGGCGGAACAGCGCTTTCCAGATAGCCCCTCCTACTTGCCCAGAGAACTTGGCACTCAGCCTCAGCTTGACCCTTGGCAAGTGCCTTCCGGAGTACCGCTTGCCAAGCAGCATGGATCCCTCCACGCCAAGGAGGACATCCACACTGGAAAGCGAAGGCCACAGCCCAGACTTGCTCTCCTTTGAGTAGCTCTGTCTCCTGCCGCCATGTCTCTGCTCCACTTTCCTAGCCAAGTCGGTTGTCATAACTGTACCGCTGGACAATTTCCAGGGCCAGATGATCCTGCTGAGAACAGACTCTGGGGGGATGTTTCCTGTTCTCCTTTAGGGACGACAGTTGTTGGCAGGCAATATCCCGAGGAAAGTCAAGAACCTTTTCCAGCTGCAGGTCACTCTCACACCCCCTAGAGGGACTGCATTCACTGGTGCCGCTCTTGCACCCCCCCCCATCTCCGTGGACTTGCTGGAGATCCATCACCAGCATAAGCTAAGAGAATCCATAGTACTGGGAATGGACCCTCAGAAAGCATCAGAATGAGCTCTCCAGACACAATCTCACCAGATTCTGGGGAGAAGAAGGTGATCCCAGGCCGAAGTCACCTCCCTGGATCCTAAAAATGGTCCAGCGATCAGAGCAGGATTGATTGATTGACTGGGATCTGGTAAGGCAGTGCCTGGATGCCCGCTCTCCCACCCTCAGCTGTGACCCCCTACAGGTGCCCTGGCACTTTAGAACTTCACAATGATTGCGGTCGCAAAGTGCAGCTCAAAAGCTAAAGCACTTGAAATGGTCGTGTTGCAGCTACACAAGTTGATGCTTCCTTGCCTTTGATTGCAATTTGCCAGCCTTGCCCTGCGCCAAACACTTTCTAGTGTATTACACTTCTCTTACTGAATTAGTTTTGACTAGTGTGAAACTGAAAGTGTTCTTGGGCTTTGTGTCGATGTTTTAAGCAAGCGAGCACTTTAAACCAACCCTGATGCCTTAATGTGAGAAGGAAAACCCAGTTCTGCTCAGAGCCACCTTCTCAAAGGCAGGCATTTTTGCTTGGCCAGCCACACTGACGTTAGGTAAGAGACCCGACTTGGCCTTTTCCACAACTGTGACCAAAATCTACTTGAAATGGGGGGTGGCATTTGACTTCCATGACCCTCTCTATAAACCTCCATCCACCACTTCTGATGGAGTTCAGTTCACAAGCACTCGTTCCCTTTTGCCGGGCCAGTTCTGTCCGTGAGCATAGCAAGAGCCACGTGGCGGCACCTGTACCTTGAGCCAACTGGAAGGAATCCTCTTATGGGTGCACAAAAGGACAGGCGTCTTCTGTTCGTTGCAGTCCTTCCTAGTCCTGCTGTACATGCAGCTTCCTTTCTGCAGCGTCCCCACCACCAAAGTCCTCCCGTGTGTGTCCTGACTGAACAAAGGTTGAGTGGCAGGAGAGAGATGTCGCCCCCACTGCACAACCCGCCACCTGAGCCTGGCTGAGGCCTGGCAGCAGAGGGTTGTTTTCCACTCCCATTTGAGTTCTGTGTGTAGCAGCGTTTTTGCTGGCCAGTGCCAGAGGTCAGCTGAGGGGATTAAGATAGCAACACAACCCTGCTTCCTGCCCTCGCGGTGGCCCTTGTGCTGCCCATTTCTGGTTCCTGCATCGGTACAGCAGTGCCAGGTGTACTGCAGCAGAGATTGAGTATGGATCTTAGTTGCTCTCCTAAGGTGTTTTACAAAGTGACTTTAGGAACGCTCTGCCAGACTCTGCAATCCTTCCAGAAGTCCTGATCTCCTGCCAAGTCTGTAATATTCATCTTGTTTGCTATCCAGGCCCAGCACTAGTTATTTTGAAAACAAAGAGGAACATTGCAAAGGCCAGTACAGAGCAGTGGCCAGATTTTTGGCCGAGAGAGAGGAGTCCGTATCCATAGTCTGCCATGCAGCCCATTTTGGTGACTCCGGGGCACTCGCTATCTCTCTGTCTAAACTACTGCACCGGGAACACCATGAGCTCCTTGGAGGAAGTAAATAAATGTGCCTGTCCCTGACTTCCTTCCCCTAAATTACTTTGCACAGTTGCCTGTTGCTGCATCCAGCCTTGGTGGCACGCGTATCCAGCAATACCGTCTGAAAACGCCAGACTGTCGGCCATAATTTCCCGCAGCACCTCCATGTTTCACAAGCTCAAGCATTCCGATGCGTGGATGATTTCCAGGTGAGGGCCCCCCAAATGGGGGTCTCCCCACAAACATTTGTTACACCCCTATTGGTGCACATTTACCTCCATAGCTGGGCTCCTGCTGTGTCGATGTGTTTTGCTGACAAAAGGCTCTGCACTAAAGCTAAAGCTAATACGTACAAGTACTTGAAATAGGGTGAATTTTCTTCGTTGGCACTCAGCTGTATTGAAGCAGGTGTTTCAAATTCCAAATTGTGATTTTAAATTTTTACCTCAGATCTTAAAAATGTTAAGACTGGCTGACATCTCTGGATTTGTGAAATCTCATGAGGTGTCAGCCATCAAAATATCACTGTATTTGTTTCAGTCCCATGCTGTCTGACACCAAATACTGCTGCATCTGTTAACACTTATTAAATGTTCTAGGATTAAAAAATACAACGGCATTTGGATGATCAAATTATCATATGGCCTTGTGCGTGGGATGCGGCCATCCAGTAGCAGCAAATTCTAGTGGTCTTCCAGGGACCCCCGAGTTCCTCTTATGGGAAGGTCAGTGGGGGCTTAACTAGACATGATATAATCATGAAATCACCGGGCTGGGGGGGGGCCCCCTACACAGGCCATCTAGTCAAGCCCCCCCTGCCCAATGCAGGATCAGCCTAGAGCATCCCTGACAAGTGTTTGTCCAGCCACGGTTTGAAGGCTGCCATGGAGGGGGAGCTCACCACCTCCCCTTAGTCAGCTGATTCCACTACTGAAATACTCGTACTGTAAAAATAAAAATTCCTAATGTCCAGCCAATACCTTTCTGCATGTCATTTAAGCCCATTATCTTTCTCCCAGGTACCTCTCCAGGTTGGGACACAGACATGTTGTTGGAGCTCCATGCTTGACAGGTGTGTGTGGGGGGGCAGTTCAGACTGAGACAGCGGAGAGAAGTGACGTAGACCTTTCTGTTTATGTTGTTTCCCCTTTGGGGGCTGCACATGTACATGTTGGTTTCCCTGATGGAGCAAAGTATGGCTCTCCAGGGCCATTTTTCAGGTCAGGAAAAATACATGGGAGGTGGAAGGTCTAAGCCCCATCTCTCAACTTGCTAAAGTCCCAATCCAAATTGGGCTCCCACATACCTGGGAAGCATGGAGCTCCCAGAAAACATCTGGTACCCAACTTGGGTATGTACCCAGGGGGAAAAATAACATTTAGTTGGAGATGGTCCATACTAGCAGATAAACCACACCATTGCCTATCTTCCTCTGTTGTGTGCAGCCACGGGGAACAGGGGGGTGAGTACCCGGTGGGGCCAGTGAGAGGCCAAAAGAGACCCATCCTGGAGTGTGCCTCAGAGTCCTCTGCATTGGCCAGAATAAGGTGTGTTCCCTGAAGACAGTTTGAAAATCACTGTGAAAAAATAAACAAGGAGACTTGTGGCACCAATGATCATTTACTATCTGATAGTACTTAACATCTGTCAGATATACGAACAATTATCACTGGATATCAGATGTGGATATAAAGTATTTGGGAAGTGATTTTGAGGACCAAATCTGTTTCAACCCTACTCTATACCTTTGACAGCTTTCTACATGGAGGCAGAAAGTCAACAGGTGAAGCTTTTCCCATTATGTTTTCTATATGCTTGGAAAGATGCACCTGCTGAATTCCTACAATGTAGGGCTCTGTCAAGAGAAGCAAAGGACAGCACGTTCATAGGCAGAGTTAGTCAGAATGGGCTGAAGTATACAGATTCCCCATAAGATCTGCCACTCAACTTCCCCATTTGGAAGAATTAGTGCTCTGCTCTGACCAAGGTCCAGAACTAATCCTATCAATTGCAAAACCAATTGGGACAGGAACCCTTTTGAGGGGCATTTGAAGGAAGGTGGTCAATTTGAAGTAATTTGCAGCCTCGTGCTAGGCACGCTTACAGTAAGGCCTACTGGATTCAGGGAGGCTTACTCTCA